GTTTTACATAAGTATCTATATACGTTAACTTACTGGAGATACCTATCTCCCTGACCATTCTTTGACACAGCTGTGGAATGCTTTGGAATCATCAGATGTATCTCTTGCCATCATAAATATCTCCTCCAGTTTGGCCCACCATCCGCTTGATCTGAGAATCTGGGAATGTCGGATCTATCCATTTTGAGGGCCGCGGGAAACGGGGCGATTTCGTCGAATTTTTGGGAACTGGTTGACATTGCTATTATATACCATTGATATAAGTTTTGATATTTGGAAACGTTTGCTTTTGCTGGTTAAACATCCCTATTTTCTCAGATTCTGTGAGGGGTGAACCTCCCCTGTGGTTTCTTGGGATTACATTTCTTGCGGATCTCGTCTCACGGTCGGGAGATCACCTGAATGCAGGTGGATCGCAGCGTCTGGCAGCACATTCCGGCAGAGACGCAGGTGGCGCAACGGTGACTTACTGGTGCTAAACGTAGGGAATGGGGGAATGGGATGATGGTGTATAGTTATTAGTTATTAACCAGCAACAAGAACAAAGGAAGTTTGTCCGAAGAAATAGTGCAACTCAATTTCAGAGGTTTAAATTACCCTCTGGTTATTTAACATAGCCATGGAAAACCACCATTTTTAATAGGTAAACCATGTATAAATGGGCCATTTTCCATGGCTATGTTAAATAACCAGAGGGTAACGTTTTCTTTAAAGATTGCTATGGGCTATGCTTTTGGTGACCATTTTCACCATGTACGGTGTGTATACACACCTTGTGGGCCTTCCAGGTTGAGCTCTCCACAAATTCTTTGTCGGAATACCCCGGCCGGGCGCTTGGCCGAAATATGGACAGCTCTCCAAATGGGCTTCGTGGCCTCTGATCTCGTAGCAGGATTATCGGAAAGGAAACTGGTTCTTCCTTTTTCTGAAGGGTCATGGTCATGGTGATAATTTCTGGTGATTGGGTCTGAAAAATGGGAACAGCTATTCGATCTCATGGTTAAACACCTCTAATGGGGCTCATCCCCAATTTTTGGGCCAACCCAGTACGAGGATGAGCAGCTCGTTACATGCTGAATCAACGGAAGGGTTTCCAAGGTGTTGCCTGCCTTGTTGCTTTGCATCAAGAGAACGCAGCGTGCGGATCTCAGATGAGTTGCGTGCGCACGGTGTCCAGCTTGCTTCATTTGACATGAAAGGATGGCTTAAAGCACGATAGATCTGAGAGATCTGAGATCTTGGCACTCTTAAAGTGTGAGTCAGTAGCAGATTCTGTGATTTGTCTTGAGCCAACTTCAAGTTGAAACTCTTACAGTACACAGCGGTGTAGCTGGCATTCTTAACGGCCTTAACGCTGCCGTGGAGCCGCGCGGTTCCAGGTTGACGTTTTGCCGCTTTGTGAATATCACCAGCCCAGAGGCCGAGCTGAAGGATTCAGGAGCAGAGGCACAGCGGCCCAGCGGCACAGCGGCACAGCGTGTTTCCCATCGAAAAACCACCATGTGGGTATGGATCAATACCTATGAAAATACCATTTTTAGTGGAATGAACATCCATTTACCAGCTATTTTGATGTGAACTACAGGGGTACAAGGTTTTGACACACTGCCATGTGTAAAACAAATCCCCCTTTTGGAAAATGCACATGTCAGCAAAAACCGGGTACGCCGCCTCAGCCGTTGTCAGTTGGTGGACGATGCCGAACGCTTGGAGAGTGGTGCACCTTTACTGCGCTGGTCGGAGGCGCCACGGCGATCACGGGATGGGGATGGCCTAAAGATGTTAGTTGAGAAGTACTGTTTTTGGGTAAGACGACTAATTGTGGAATGGCATCGTGTGTCACCTGTCACAGGGAATCTGGTGCACTCTAAAGTGAGTGCCAGGATGGTCTCGCGAATGGCTACAACATTGTCTTGAGGCACACAATACCGCTGGTTGGACCCTGAGTTTGAACAGCATCAGCCATTCATCGCCAAGGAGAATCTGTAGGTTATAGATGGTTGGTCAGTGGACCATGACACATAATCAGCCTTAAAAACAGGATACATAGCACTTTTCTACCCAATGATTAGCCGCATTCTGAATTCTCGACATGTTGATTGCTTCAAGTCCTATTTAAGGTACAGGGCAGTTTCAGTTCCTTCATGAGTTTGCCATTTGTCCTACAGGATGACACAATCTTTTCCCGCACATGGCCTTGTCCAAAAATGGGACTTCGCTTCCAAAGGGAGGGATCCCAACATTTTTGAAACACGTAGAGAACCCTTGGAGTTGGGCAAACAATCCCAACATTTTCAGGTACAAAAGCCATCGTCGAATCCTGTTTCTGGCAGTGACAAAACATCGCCGTCCGAGTTCAAAGTGCTTCGACTTCTTCCGGCCTGCCGCGAACATTTAGCCGCAGCTGCCAGAGCTGCGCAGGCCTCTGCGACCTATTTTGGGACTGGATGTTGAAAAGAAACGGTTCCAAGATTTCGGCCAAAACCACCAGTTTGTTTCCATAAAACATTGTTTTGGTTTTCTTGCGTTTCCGATCTGAACCTTCGATGATGTTTCCGATCACTGCCCTGACGAGGCAGAACTGAATGAGGTGGACCTAGAAGGCAAGTTTTGGTGGTCAAGTGCCAGTTTTTTTTTGGGGCAATCATCAGTTGGATCAGCAAAGTCACCAGGTCACGATGCAGACTGGTTGACGACCCAGGGGGTTTTGAAAAATGCGTCCGGGGTCTCCGAGACACAAACATCTTCAAAATAAAACTGGACGCTTTCTCCGATATATATATATATACATACATATACATATGCATACAGTATATATATATATGATATATGTAATTATATGTATATGTGGTCCAAGTGAATCAACTGTTCACTTCTTGGCTCATGCAAATGAGTTCGTGGATCAAACCATAGCTGGATTCAGCCCCAGGTTCGAAGGTGAGGAATGCGCCATCAAGACCTGCCAACGGCTTCCAGTCAGCTGACCTCAGTTCCCCTCCGCCATGGAGTCCATGGAGCAAGGAATTTCACCAACTCCAAGGATTTTCCAAGGTTAGAAATTTAGAAACATCAGCTTGAAGGATGAAGGGTTGGACATGGTTAGGCCACTTAGCCACCACTTATCCACCACTTATCCACTATTTATCCACTTTGGCCAAGTTCTTAAGGATGTTTCACCATAGGTTTCACCATAGGTTTCACCATAGGTTTCTCCATAGGTTTCTCCATAGGGCCGCCAGGTGCGAATCAGCGTGGCGACGGCGCAGACCATGGTGCTGCTTTTGGATGATGCGGTGGCCACGGTCCTGACGTTTCGATGGAAAGGTAGGGACCCCAGCAGCGGTGTTGTCATCGTATGCAGCGCCGGAAGCTGCTTTGTTTAATGTGCACAGCAATGGAGTTGTTTTTTTTACTTGAATTTTCTGCATGTCGGACATTATGTTTGTTGCTTTTGGGAAGCAGTGATTGCATCATTTGCATCCCCCTCACATGAATCATCAAATTATACTATCATATTTCAGATGAAACGGTCTCTTCGCACAGCGAAACCCGTGTCATCCGTGTTTCGGTTGTTTCGCAGGTCTTTTCGCCACCAGTTGCTTCTACATGCAGCGAATTTGTCCTTTCCCCAGCTTTGTGGCATCTCCAGTGAGTATCCCATGAAAATCCCATAACCAAATATGATCAAATCACCATTTCTGATAGGTAAACTCACCTCTGAGGCCCTTCGCTGGAGCAAAGGCGCCCATTTTTTCGGATTCCCCGCGACACATTCGGCTGGGTTCCGGCATATTTGGATCGGGTTTGAAGTGATCATGGTCTTGTTGAAGCACTCAGATCATCCGAAATCAACCGTTGACAAAGTCTTTCTAGACCCAATTGATGGCTGATCCAATATGCGATGAGTTGTAACAACCTCAGCACGACGTCACGACGTAAATGGATGTAAATGGTAGTTTATACATATATTTATTATATGTATTGATTGGGAATCATCCCCAATAATTTGATTCGGTATCATAATTTCACCAGAGCCCATGGCCCATGGTGAATTTTTGTTATTTCCATTAATATCCGTCAGTAGATGGCCATCTGAATAAGAGAAAGTGGTGATTAAATCTCAGACAGATCCACCCCAGCTTGCCCCCCACACCCTCTGCAGCAACAAGGTGGGGAAAAGTCAGATATTGGGGCGACTCAAACTGTGTTGATTTCTCCATGAATCAGGCGGCTCTTGGTGCGTTTCTCGGATGTGCGGACGTGCCTGCGCCTCAGATACCTGGAACATTGGCGTTTTTCGCTGAACACACAAGGATTTCACCAGCCGAAATGGAGACTTCACATGACTTCACCATTGAAATAACAGGGACTCAATGTGATTCATGATTCAACATGATTTCACCAAGCATCTGTCATGGGTGTGTCTGAAGATTGGGTACCCAAAGTTATGGCCATTGTAATTGGATGAAACGGGGCACCCAAGAGGGGCCATCTCCAGGTTGCCGGTTTGGGGGAAGGATATGCCTATTCTGATGCTCGTGGTTTGGAATCAGGATGCGATCATTTGGCTCAACCCTTGTTTTGGTTCTTTTTTTAATTTTGCGTCGCTTTATATTGATTTATATGGTTTTTGGATGTTTTTGGTATAGTTATATTGTCTTATAGAATTTTATAGATCAAATAAATCATTTCTCACCACTCTCAGACCCCGCAACGGGCAACTTGCCAAAGATTGCCATCATCGACTAATCTCCGATCAGGTCGTGATTGGCTTTTTGCGGTCACGCCTCAACCACAGGTTCGATTGCTGCCTCGCCCTCAGAGCTGCACCGCTGATGGGAAAGCAGCAAAGTCTTTGCGAACTTTGGGTGATGGCAACCCAACATGGAATATCATTTTTAGTAAGACCGAACTTCGGATTATTTTTAGTAACTTTGTTTAAACAAAAACATCCACTTTTTTCTGAGAGTGTCAATCAATGCAAGCCAGATGAGTCCCCAGCTGTCCAAAAATCTGTGACCGACGACAGCCTTTGGCTCAATCCAAGCTGTGGGGCTGTGGGGCTCGCCCTTCGGTCGCGTCGCCATGCCCGGCAGGGGCTGTCAGATGGAGAGTATGTTTGCGGAGTCCTTGAAGTTGGGCTGCTGCGAAGTTGATTTGGCTTTTCTGAAGAAACTTGGTGGATCTTGGTGGAATTCTCAATTCCATCTCCCCCAATATGTGTAAAGAAAACATACAAAAACCCTATGACATGGTCCCAAATATGTGTAAATCCCCTACTAAACCATAGTTTCGTTTGGGGGTGTTTGAATAGGGCCATCAGGATTTCGCCCCCGCATCCGGATTTCGGCCCGAGGAAGAAGTCCCGGAAATTGTGTGGATCCAGCGAGGCGCGGCGCCAGCGTCAGCGTCAGTGGCTGGCTCCAGAAATGCCAACCCCAAAATGCAGGAGGAACAGCCAGGATGAGAAATGGAGGTTTCCTGAAATCAAATTACCCCTGTTTTTCATCTATTTGAGTGGGATTTTCCATTATAAACCATCCAGCTATTGTGGGTACCCCATTTACGGAAACCTCCAAATCAATATAAATAAACAACCAGATGATCGTTTTGATCGCTCCTGGTGGTGGAGAAACTTGACCAAATGGATGAACTGTGCAGGTTCCAGTCGACCCAGAAATTACCGTCAAGGCGAGGGAACGCACCGCTTCTGACTTCAACGATGCTGATTTTAGATGATTTTAGTGCAATGGTAAACCATCCTAAATTTCACCACAAATGGGTGGTCTATTAGTATTTATGATTGCTTTACTGACATTAGATACATTGATGGGTTTGTGAATAGCAATCACAAAGGGTTTGCCCCAGTGGAGTTGATCGGGGTTATGGGGTCGCTATTAAAGCTGCCCTACTGAAACACTGCATCTGTGTAGCCGAGCAACACAAAAAAGTAACCGCTCAAATCCCAGTTGGCCCACTTCAGTTGGACTTTTTCCATATTTTTCCTTTCTCTTCAAAGCATGGTAGGAGGTTTTCGCTCTTTATGAAACCATGCGACCAACAGTACGACGTACGACCTCCAGGTGGTCAAGGGCGAAGTCGATGGCCTGGTCTATGAGTGGGACTTGCAGGACAGTTGGCCCATCCACTTCAGCAAGGTGCGAAAATCAGCGGAGCTGAGCCGATTTTTGAAGCAGTGACGTTCACCAGCACATCTTGGGGAGCTAGTCAGGATATAGTGGGGATATAGTGATATAATGTAGTCGGGGTACAAATATATATATATATAATATTATATTATAGGATATTATACTATATTATAGGATATTATATTATATTATAGGATATTATATTATATTATATTATTATATTACTATATTATTGTATTATCATATTATTGTATTATTATATTGTTATATTACTATATTATTGTATTATTATATTATTATATTATTATATTATTATATTATCCCCGGTCGGTGAATGCCTATGGAATGCCTAGCTTTGGTTATTATGAAATGCGTTTTTTGGTATTTTTTAAGGTTATTCAATAGAGGGCTAAATGCTGGAAGATGCGTGTATCTATGTTTGTGGCACATGCTTGGTGAGTCTAATGCCTAGATTCTCATTTTATAAAGGATTCAAGTATTGATGAGGAATGGTTAGGAAACAAGGGTTCGACATATATTGTATAGTGAAATAAGGGGTCATTTCATAAACAGAGAGGGGGGTCATTTTATAGAGGGGTACAATCGTACAAGACTTTCACAAGGAACGAGAAATTATGGTTGGCATCACATTAAAAATTTTCATCGCAAAAAAATACGCCAAATCCAGGGACAACATTATAAAAACAACATCACAATAATGTACTCCGACCTTTTTTCCTATTATTATGTGTATGTATTTTTATGGTTCTAAAAGTGTTCTTTTAAGATATAACACATCAATGTTTGGCACAAAGCATTTTTTGTGGGAGATGGTGAGATTTTGTGAGATATTTTTGGTTTTGAAAAGAAATTGGTTGCGCTATGATTTTATATATAATTTCACGCAATTTCAGGTTTCATAAATAAAGATATATTTATGTTCATATATTGTCTATCATTTTCTGTGATTTTGAAATTTTGGCCTTGAGTGGTGTTGATGATATACCGCTGGGCCAGATCTCTAAAATCCCCGGGCTGGTGCCCACTGGCTATAGCCAGCTAAGAATTTAAGCCAGGCAAATCTTAAAGCCCCTGGGGGTAAGGACAAAGAAAATTAGCAAGATTACATGGGGAAACAACAAGTTTGAAATCATTTGCTAGCATGATGCATATGAGGAGCTAGTGCCCCTGAATTTTAGCTAAAATTTCATTGCAACACCTTGAAAATGAATCAATGAGTGTTTTAAAACCGACTGTGGACATAATTTGTGGATAGAAATCTCATTTTCAATATATCTTTGGCAAAATATGTTGTTTGTTTTTTTTTTTTTTAAATCATTGCAATACCTTGAAAATGAATTAGTGAGTGTTTTAAAACCGATTGTGGACATAATTTGTGGATAGATTTTTTTTCCAACATATTTTGACAAAAATCTTTGAAAGCATCTTTTATAAAATTTCATTGCAATGCCTTGAAATTGAACCAGTGAGTGTTTTTAAACCGATTGGGAACATAATTTATAGATAGAAATTATTGTTTAACACTATCGAACACAATCAGGTTTTTCAATATGCCCACTATAAATGTGACATTTTTCATTTTCTCGTTGTTTCCCGCCCGTTGTAGGGTTCCTCGTTTACTCCGTTGCGTTACCCCGGTTGCGTCTAACTTTCATGCCTGGATGACCTTCGCCCGTTGCCGGGTCGAAGTCCTCGAGCCGGGACTGTGGACCCGTCACCACCGTTGTGCCTCCTGGCACCACCTCCTCGAATAAGAAATGTAGTGGACTTATTTTGAAAACGAAGACATAGTTTAAATTGGTTAGATATAATATAATAGAAACATGTGTAATCTATATATATATATATATAACATAAACGGGGTGGATCCGGTTGCCTGCGAACCGACCCGGGGTGTCTCTATGAAATGGGTTTCCAAACATTTGTAGCTTGTATCACAGGTTCACCGGGGTCATTTTGGTGGCGCGTGTCATTTCATAGTGACCCAGATTTCCCACCCCGAAACATCTCGAAACATCCTGAAACCAAACCACTTTCAGCCTCGGGTTCTCTATGAAATGGATTTCCAAGCATTTGTAGCTTGTATCACAGGTTCACCGGGGTCATTTTGGTGGCGCGTGTCATTTCATAGTGACCCAGATTTCCCATCCCGAAACATCTCGAAACATCCTGAAACCAAACCACTTTCAGCTTCGGGTTCTCTATGAAATGGGCTTCCAAGCATTTGTAGCTTGTATCACAGGTTCACCGGGGTCATTTTGCTGGCGCGTATCATTTCATAGTGACCCAGATTTCCTATCCCGAAACATCTCGAAACATCCTGAAACATCCTGAAACCACTTAGACCACTTTCAGCCTCTGGTTCTCTATGAAATTGGTTTCCAAGTATTTGTAGCTTGTATCATAGGTTGACCGGGGTCATTTTGGTGGCACGTGTCATTTCATAGTGGCCCAGATTTCCCATCTCGAAGCATCTTGAAACATCTTGAAACCACTTAGACCACTTTCAGCCTCTGGTTCTCTATGAAATGGGTTTCCAAACATTGGTAGCTCGTATCACAGGTTTACCGGGGTCATTTTGGTGGCGTGTATCTTTTTGTAGTGGCCCAGGTTTCCTATCCCAAAACATTTCGAAACATCCTGAAACATCCTGAAACCACTTAAACCACTTTCAGCCTCTGGTTCTCTATGAAATAACTTTCTAAACATTTGTAGCTCGTATGACAGGTTCACCGGGATCATTTTGGTGGCGCTTGGCATTTCATAGTGACCCAGATTTCCCATCCCGAAACATTCTATCTAGATAATGAATGAAATTAGACAACTGCGGTGTGATTTTATAATGCAATGGAAGGCAAGATGTGCATGCTAGGTGTTTATCTTTACCCTTTGGCTTTCATTTCGCTTATGAACACCTGTCCATTTCGTAGTGAGAAGCTTAAAAGATATGTTTTAACCGTAGGAAACAATACCCATTTCATACAAAACAGTGATCATTTCATAGAGCCAATATATTTTTACATTCTCATTTCATTTACGTTGCCCACTGTACACAATCAAAGCGATTGGATGACAAGGAAGTTTGGGATCGCATTGTATAGTCCACCACTTTTGGTGAGCAAATATAAGCCATTTTTGGTCCTTAATGTAAAGCAGGGTCATTTCATATAAAACCTTGGTTTTACATTTTATAAAGGAAATATCCTTGGTTTTGCATTCTATAGTACCTATTCTCTCTATAAAATGCTTTGCAAATGCTGAGGGGTATCAAGGACAGGGGATATTATATTATTATATTATTATATTATTATATTATTATATTATTATATTATTATATTATTATATTATTATATTATTATATTGTCTTGTATTGTATTGTTTTTGTATTGTATTATATATTATATATATATGTTTATAACCAACAATATGGGGTAAACTTGGGTCTGTCAATCTCATGGCCATGAAAAAATAGAGGGACAACGATGGTTGACCATCAAATTTGGGCCCCATTTTCAGAGTTTCAGCCATTTTACTATAGAGATGAATCGCCAAAAGTTGTCATGTTGACCGACAGGCGCGGCTTCAGATCCTCTCTTTTGCTGACTTGGAAGTCACCGAAGTTTCCAGGAACAGGACGGTGTACCCACTCGGGCAATCGGCCGAGCCCACATTGGGGGATGGGTCGTTCAGGATTTTGACAGTCATTTAGTTACTTCAAAATGATAAGCCATTCTGGTTTTGTATATGCTTTTGAGAAGTGGTTTCTTGGTTTTGGTGGTGAATATGGGGTTTCTTCGTGGAGTTTCGTCGTTTGAGAGGACACTGGTTCGCATGCGACCCGAAGTGCTGCAAGTGCAAACTGGGTCGCAAATTTGGGATCACAAGGACCAGGGTTTTGATCTGCCAAGGATTTTGACATCCAAAATCAAAGTGGCCGTAGAACGGGGGATTTGCACCATTGAAAATGACAACAGCATATAAATCATACATTGGTTAAATCCCTGTTTTGACTGGTGATATCCTCAATTTTGGCTGGTGTAATGGTTAAACCTCTATTTTTCATTGTGAACTCTTTACGTTTGATGGTAGAATCTCTATGTTTGAAGCTTAAATCCCTATCGTTGATGCTTAAATCATGTTAAATAAATCCGTCATTTACGACAAAACAGTTCTTTCTTAGTCACAACTGTAGCCCGTCAGGCCAGTCGCCGCGGCTTAAGCGAGTGGCACAGTGGCGCGATGGCACAGACAGTGCTACCTCCAGGATTTCAGGTGGGCCCGCTGGGCCCACTGGAGTAATGGTAATATGGGTGTCTTGAAATGGGGTACGTCCCCAAATAATCAGTCCATGGGGAAAAAATGGATGATAAACCATTGGATTCTTTTGTAACCACTGTTTTCAAACAAAACCATGTTTTTGAACATGATGAGATATATAACCAATAGGATAGAGGGGAGATGATCAAGCATGGGAGCATACCTTGGTAAACGTTGGGTAGTTTAGTACTCTAACCTTTTGCTATAGTCAATGAGTTCCCGTGTTGTCCCGATGGCACTTTGGGCTGTTGGTGTAGAATCCACTTCCAAATAGAGAATCCTATCTTCTGGTTGTCTGAGATGTCAGACTCCGCAGGAATACTCTCGGAAAACTGCCTTGGCAGCCTCAGGTGGAGGAACTGTTGGTGGTTCACGAGCTGCTGCTGAAGCATTCCCTTCACAAGGCATGGTCAACCGAAGAACATCGGTGCCATCAACGGCCCGGTGGGCCCGTGCGGGCCGTGCGGGGTCTCCGCAGGCCTTGCTAGGGGGCCACTTTAGAGGTACGAGGTGATGCGGTCGGGATCGACCGCAGGCTTCGGTAGGGGGGTGAAGGTTGCTAAGTCTTGGATTTTATATGTTTGTCTATTAATTTGTTTGTTTATTTTTTTGGATGATGTTCTAGTCTTTAGATCATTATGATCATTCGAGATGTTGGGGGGTCTTCAAATGAATCTTTATCCACTGAGTTTTTGCAAAGTTTAGCCAACACGCTTTTCACAACCTGCCAGTGCAAGCCTTGGTGTTTGTAGGACGACCCAGTTCTGAAAGGCGATGCTTGAGCGGGCTGGTGCGTCTAACGCAGGCCTGGGACGATCAACGGCTATTCACCAGCCAGGGGAACCCGGCGAATCCTGAGGTGAAGACAATGCTCGGACGAACTGAGCCTTCCAAGAAATCTTCTGAATCGAAAACCTTCGAATCATCATCTTCGAAATCTTCAACGAGATCGTCAGAATCTTCTGAATCCCCCATGAAGAGAAGACGCTGCGAACAGCTCGACCAGTGCGACCAGATTTCCCGTGCAGAATGACGCAAAGAAAAGGGTTGGCAGCTGCTGATTGAAGGAGGTGGGGAGAGAAACTTCGTCTTTTTGGATGGGGATTACCCAGCCAGCTATGTTTGATGACACCAGAGAGTTCCTATTGCCCTGGTTTTTAGCTTCCAGTATATGTGTACACATATATATATATATATATATATGCTCGTATATACAATTACATACATACATCCATTCCATTCCGTTCCATTCCATTCCATTCCGTTCCGTTCCATTCCATTCCGTTCCATTCCATTCCATTCAAGTCCAATCCACAGAATGAAAATCCAAAGGTGGCCAGACTCTTGTATGTTGGGATGTGAATATTCCATCACATCATCACATCACATCACATTAAACATCACATTAAACATCACATTAAACATCACATTAAACATCACATTAAACATCACATTAAACATCACATTACATTACATCACATTACATTACATACAACTGGGGGAAGATGGTAATATTTCAATAACTATGTATATATATACATATAGATCAGCCATGTTACATCGCTGAGGATGTGGCACATCTCTGGCGTTGCCTTTCACGCCCTTCCTCTGGGCGAACATCTTCCGGAGGCGTCGCTCATCCCGGGACGATTTTGGGATGCCATGGTTTGGGCTATCCGAGCCATCCGAGAACCACTTTGAAACCCAAATTGCTAGGAATCCCCAGGATCCAGGGGATCCAATCTCCGAGATTTTCGAAAGGACGTGAACTTCACTACCCTGTCCATTGCGCGGGACTTGTAGCGATCTCAGCTGGCGGCTATCGAACTGGAGGTATCAACGGCCAAGTTTACGCAAATTAAACTGCATGATCTGCACATTTCTCCAGAGGTTTGGAAACGTAAAATCCTTATGTCATCGAGTCAGATTATGGCTTCGAAAAGATGGCCCCAAATATTTCCGACTGAGGCTTGGCGTTGCGTTGTGTGATGATCGCACAAGGCTTAGCTACTGGACTTCCGGCCGTGCGTGACGAGAGGACATTGTCTTGCTCTTGACGAGAATAGTGCAGTTTGTTTTATCCTCCTCATCCACCAGCACCAGCATCAGCATCAGCATCAGCATCAGCATCATCGTCGTCGTCGTCGTCGTCGTCGTCGTCGTCATCGCCATCGCCATCATCATCATCATCATCAACAACAACAGCAACATAAACATCAACATCAACAGTCATACAGCAATAATTCTATAGTAATTAAAACTGATGATGGTAATTACACCGATGGCTGTTACCGGCCCCCAGGCCATAGGATCTGGGTGCTGTCTCTGGAGAGCTACTTTGCCTGGGCACCGAGAAGTTTTTCTGCGATGCAGAAAAGTTCTGTTGAACGAATGGTCAATGTAGACATAGTCACATAGTGATGCTGTATAGAAGATCATGTACATATATAATATGTATGTATATTTATGTATGAGATACTTTAACACATATATGTTTTTCCTCTCTCTCTCTATATGTATATATATATGTATATATAATTATATATATATATATATACAGTATATAAAAGCTATAAAACTGTATATCTATACATATCTGCGCATGTAGGTGTATACATACGTACATACCAAACATTGCGTTACATTACATTCCATTCCATTGCATTCCATTACATACACACACAGACATATATATATATATATATCATATATACACATCTGGATTTTACCATGCCAAAACACAGGCGATTTCACTCTTCATCCATCTTACCCATGACACATGCGTACTTGAGGAGACGTGCCCCAAGAATTTGGACTGGGAGCTCTTGAAGGAGTTGGACACTTTCAAACATTTTTTTTCGGTTCTGTGATTTTCAGGTTATACTTGGTGGTTTGGGATGGTGGTTTGGAAGTCGAAATCAGAGGTTTCCTGGAAATTTTGAGCAGTTTTTGTGTTGGTTCTGCCTTTTGCTACGGATCACTAGGTTTTTGTGTCTGCCAGGAAAGACACCGCTGCGCCGAAGGTGCGGGCGTCATGGGGCAGACCAGCAAAGCGTACCAGGACCGTTGGGACCGTTGAGATCTGGGCTGGACATTGCTGGATTTGGATGGATTGGGATGGATTTCTGTGGATTTTGCGAGGCAAATTCAGTTTTCGGAGGTTGCTGTGACTGTTCTATTCCATCGGTTTAATGATGGATGAATGATGAATGTCAACTTTTTTAAAGATATTTTGGTGAATTGCCACCAGAGATCATCGCATATTTCTGTTGCTGGTGTTTTGGATGAATTTTTCTATGGTTTTTCTATCTATAATTTTGTTACTTTGCTGGAGAGTACCTTTGAACCTGGACTCGAAGCCTGGAATTTGCCGATGGAGGATTTGACTGTCCATCCTGAAGCTTTTGGGCTGCGGCTACAGGCGATACAATTTTTTTTTCTGGTGGGGATAGGAAGTCGACATAGGAAAAGACCTGTTTTTTAGTCTAAAAGATGCATCGGTTGAGTGTTTCTCCGTGACGACAAAGAGCTTCGAGCCCCTGCAGTTGGATAAACATTTTTTCAGCAATGTTGACTTGAAGGACAGCACAACGAAGTTAGGTAATGGGGATTGAAAAGAACCTTTACGAATAGGGAGAACACGAACTTTACCAGTAGGGGGAGAATTATTTTCCTACCTGGTCATTATTTGACTCCTTCTTCTTGTGGCTCCTTTGCTGTTTGCTGTTCCGACTACCGTTTACCGCGTTCTTTTAGTCTCAAAGCAGACTCAAAGCAGGATTCTGTGAAGCGCTCGAGTGAAGTCGCTGGGTGCGGGGTCCCAGATTTTTTCCGCCTTTTTGTGGCATTGACCTGGAATACATTGGGAGCAACAGTGGTAAGACTTGGCAAAACTACTCACATTGAGATACCCCAGGCGATCCTCAGGCAGATCTGTGATGGACTGCCTGGTTGAAGGAGTGCCCACCTATGGCCGCGACCTCAGAACTGTCAATGGATTGAGAAGATCTACAGGAAATTCAAGAAACCATGGATTTTGATCCCAGAAAATCCGATAAATCATGATAAATCCCAATGATTCATTTTGACTCCTGGGTTGATATTCTGGATTTTCACGCTGTTTCAGGAACATTTACCTAGAGGAAGCCTTTTTCATTAGATTTCACCGAAAGCAGGACTTTCCTTATTCATTGGGTTTTTCCGAGTGTGCCGCTGTTTCATTAGAATTTACCTAGACGAAACCTTTTTCACTAGATTTTACCGAAAGCAAGATTTTACTTATTCATTAGATTTTTCCGAGTGTGCCGCTGTTTCGTTAGAATTTACCTAGACGAAACCTTTTCACTAGATTTTACCTAGAGGAAATATTCCCCAAACAGTGTGTCCACACTGAGGGGTTCTTACGGTAAGAGATAAGGCCGGTGCTTGATCAGGGTGCTCCATCTGTTCCCGGGCTTTTTTCCTATAAATTGCATAAAATTGCTCTTGTGACATGTCCATGTGCATTTCGACTGCGCAGGCTCGCACAAAGTCTGCCACGCGAGTTTTGCTTGATCTTGCGGCGCGGCATTTTCCATCAGAATTCTCGCATAAAATAAGAAAAAGAATGCGGGGCTAAAGAATCCAGGAAAAATGCTTGGCTAGGAAGGGCTGCGCTCTGAAAATAGGACACCGCAGATAATCAGATAATCATCATGCTGACCTAGTCTTGTGCTGATCCGCTTCATGTTCTCTACTGGCAAGTCAACAGTTGCGAAACACCCGTCAAGCAAAAATAGGATTGCCGAAATCGGTTCTGTGAATCAGGAAAATTCACTTTTTCATTACGCAGCGGATTTGCCATGATTTTCCCGTATTCTTGGACCAGCACATTTTTCTCATAGGTTGTGGGAACACATATTGCCTGTGCCGTTCGGCCAGTGCCAGTCGCTGTTTTGTGTGTGTGTGTGTAGCTGGCATACTCTGCTCTTCACGTTACTTGGTCATATCATACACTACACTACTCTACCAGTTCGTCATTTGGTGGTTGGCCAGTGCTGAACACTTGAATGTACAGTAAACAACTCTACAAGTTTCTTTCTTATTCATATACATATATATATATATATGTAGCTATACCCTCCTCTACTAGAATGCCTGGTTAAACAACGCTCAACTCTTCAAGGACTTGACTCCACAGCAATTGTACCTCATTTTTTCATTCCTTCAGAACTCAGAAGTTTCTGTTCCAGAGTTTCTGTTTCCGCACTCGTCTCTTGGCGGAGTGAGGTATTTCCCTCCCGGGTGGTGCGTGTGGAATGGGCCAGAGCCCTGGACAATGGCCATTACATAGCCTTTACATAGACCTTACATATGGTAGATACCTCCAATTTGGCCACTGAGAATCCCACCAATGAACATGTTTTTTTTCATTCTTGGAGGATTTATGGAAATGGACATGATATATTGAGCTTCATTTTTTTTTGTAGACTCTTTCTTTTGCAACCATCCAAACGAATTCGGCTTCTCTGCAGATCTTTACCTCAAAGCCTTGGGCTAGACAGGAATTGATCTATTCCATAGGTGGCAGGTTTGTCAATCCTTGAGATATCATTCAATGGTCCTGAAGGGGAACACCGCCGTTTCTCAAAAGATGTAGATACCGGATGGTACCGGGATAGTTGTCCTCTGGTCTTCGCAGCTTTGGCAGATCACACTCCAAATCCCCGTGCAGGGGACCATTTTCTGGAGAGCTTTGAAGGAAAAGGCTGGGTGGGATTTTGTCCAACTGGGTCAGAACCAATTTCCAGAAACGCTGGAATCAACGATTTTCCTCGCCATTTGGGATGATTTTCCCGAGTTCATCGTACCAAGCGGCTGCGGGTGGCAGTGATATCCCACGGTTGCTACCTCCTGTCATTGGTGTAATCAAAACGGCACTCAACAGACCTGTTACAACTATCTCTACACCTCCAAAGGGAAGTTGTTTGGAATTCCACCCCACAGGGGAAGACGAGAGAGCCGCTGGTGTGTGGAGCTTAGTTTCCAGTTCGGGAGAATCCAGGG